GGATGTCAGGAAGTAAAGAGAAAACAACTTCCTTGAGCCACTTAGATAATCAACCATTTGGTATATGAAGAGAAAATTATCACTTCTGCAAAATCTAATACATTCATCTCTCTACCGTTATGAACTAAAATTGACACCTGTAACTGCCACGAATGAAAGAGAGATACTGAGGGCGGTGTGTGAACACATTAATCCTGTCTTCGATGAATCGTATGGAAAGTATAAGTTAAAATTAAGGAACGGGATCATTATTTGCAGTGCCTGAGAAGTTCATGCGATTTTCCCTCGTTCATGAAATTCACCAGAAGGAACCAGACAGCGGCAGATAATTTCTGTGGAGGAGGAATCGATCGAGGTAGCATCCGCTCTTGTCGGGAATCGATGTTTGGTGACTCCATGGCTCATGCCACGTGAAACTTCGTTATTCTAGCAAGCTTTGACTATCTTTTACGGCAGTCATCAAAGTGACTAAGAAACAACTTGTTCTATCGAACGCCGGTTCTTACCCCATCCTTGTATTGCGCACATCCAATATTTGATCTTGTGGGCTTGAAACGTGAAGCGCACACTCATCAGCAAGTACAAGCCTTCGACCAACATCCAAAAGAATCCGGCAGTAACAAAATAACGAAATAGCACCATCGCAATGAAGCAGAATCTCTAAACAGACAACTAAAACGGTACAGAAGCGGAGGTCGTACAGTTATAAGAATACGCAATTTTTTACTGTCAAGATTATGATGCAAATATTAAACCATTATTGACATCGATATCCTGCCCTTCATGCGCAAAATTCGTGATGCAACGGTTTAGAGAGCGAGAGAAGGCCGATATTAAGTGCTGGTCCAACGTTCCAGCCACCCAAACAATTATTTTTTCAAGGCAAAATAGACAAAAAATGATTTTGTAGTTATGTAAGGAAAACTTAGCGATTATTAGCATCAGGCTTATCCAGCGTTTGTAAATTCCTTATGAAAATACGTTATAAAACAATCCCATAGCTTGCTGAGATGTGCAACAATTCTCTGATGACCAATTTGACTGTATGCCACTCGTGATCAAGCAGTGCAACACTTTGCTGTACTAGGTCGTGAAAATATGCTTAGCCGTAGGTGACAGAACCACGGTATTACAGTTAATCGCTTGCGGTTGCTCGCCTGTGCCCAACTATTCGAACTTTGAATGTTCAAAAAAAATTTCCTGAGTAAAGCCGCTCAGAATTGTCATATTTGCAAGAGACCAGTGAATGATGATCAAACTTTGTATCTAATGTGATACCTCGAAAAAATATACATTAATTAAGGTCAGTAAT